GGGTCTTGCATATTTTCCCTTAACAAAAATGGAAATGTTTCACATTAACTAATATCTATATGCTTTAAAGAGCAAGGAAAGATAGTGTAATTTCTGACAGCTAGGGAACTTAATACACGGAGTTTAAGAAACTCCATCTTAGAAGCCTTTCCTTCTCTCTCAAGACTGGATACTCCATAGATACTCCTTCTATGGGCTCTAGTTGCTCTTTTATGAGAGGACATAGCATTCTATATTGTTAATTGTAACAATCTAGGGGAATGCAATCACCTAATTATATGATTAACTTCAAGGGTTAGTATGCCTTCTTCTCTACTACCTAGATCCTAGCAGCATTCCTGGCATAGAGTAGACGTTTAATAAGCATTTGTCAAATATACAGATACATAATGCAGGGGCTGACTTGGTCTTAATTATTTTCTTAGAATGCTTAGTTTTATTCACCTATATAATAAATTTGAGGCTTAATATATAACAGAAAGAGAAAAGAGAAGAGCATAAGAAGAGAAGAAATTACTTTGTTGTTTTCATACACAAGATAAGTAAAACAATGTCACGGTGGTAAGTTCACTGATTAATTATGATTTGGGATATTACTTCTTTTCTAACCATGTAAAACGATAGAAGACCATAACTCAGGGGAAAGAAGAGCTCTAGAAGGTGAAACAATATATATATTTGAATATACATTGTTTAGTTTTATTTTATATATATATATATTTTAAATACTGCCTCTGGCACTTATTAGCTGGGTGACTTGGGGAAAGTAAATTCCTTGACCCTCAGAGACCTTTGTAAATTGATATATAAATCACAGTTATAAACATAAGGTTTAAATGAGATAAGTTTTCAAAGCTCTGTTTCTCAGCTTCCTCATCCAGAAAATGAGTTGTGTTTCATGAACTTTAAACCCTTCCCAGTTGGAACTTTCTATGTGCATATTGAAAGAAAGAAGAAGCTGTGTGTGGTGACTGATGCCTGTAATCTCAACATTTTGGGAGGCCAAGGAGGACCACTTGAGGCCAGGAATTCAAGACCAGCCTGGGCAACATAGTGAGACTCCTGTCTCTGCAAAAAAAACAACCAACTAAAAAAACAAAGAAACAAAACAAAACAAAGAAACACTTATCTGGGCATGGTGGTGTGTACCTCTATTACTAGGTGCTTGGAAGGCTGAGGTGGGAGCATTGCTTGAGCCCAGGAGTTTGGGGATGCAGCGAGCTATGATAGTTCCACTGCACTCAAGCCTAGGCGACAGAGTGAGATACTGTGTCGAAAAAGAGGGGGTGTGGGGTGACTGTAGAATCAATCTCAATGAGTGACTGAACTCACTCTTTACATGAGGGTCAGCTCTATTGATTGCAGAGCCGTGGTTCCCAACCAGAGAGCCACAGACACTTGGAGGCATGGGGGCGGGGGGTGGGGTATTACAGTACATCTATGAGGGCACTGAGTATCAGACTAGGTTAAATAAATAAGCAAGCATATAACTGTAGTGATATTTTTTCAGTGATGTAGATGCTGGCATATTAAATAAAATACAGTCATTTAAAATCTTCACATATATAACAACTATATAATTTTAAAAATATATGGATAGACGGCATTGGAAGAGCATAATTATAAAATGTGAGAAGCCAATACATGTATATGTGTTTGTGTGTGTGTTAAAAAGTTCTGGACTCGGCGCGGTGGCTCATATCTGTAATCCCAGCACTTTGAGAGGCCAAGGCGGGTGGATCACCTGAGATCAGGAGTTCCAGACCAGACTGGCCAACATGGTGAAACCCCGTTTCTACTAAAAATACAAAAATTAGCCAGGCATGGTGGCAAATGCCTGTAATCCAGGCTACTTGGGAGGATGAGACAGGAGAATCGCTTGAACCCTGGAGGTGGAGGTTGCAGTGAGCCCAGATCGCGCCATTGCACTCCAGCCTGGGCCACGAGAGTGAAACTCCATCAAAAAAAAAAAAAAAGTTATTTTTGTCATATAATTTTGGAACTAATACTCTAAAACTTGCCAAATATAAAATTGAAAGCCTCCAGCTAATAAGTGCCAGAGGCAGTATTTAAACTATATATATATATGAAAATATATAATAAAACTAAACAATATATATTCAAATATATATATTGTTTCCCCCTCTAGAGCTCTTCTTTCCCCTGAGTTTTGGTCTTCTGTCATTTTACATGGTTAGAAAAGAAGTAATTTCCCAAATCATAATTAATCAGTGAACTTACCACCGTGACATTGTTTTACTTATCTTGTATATGAAAACAAGTAAAATGCCTAAAATGGTTCATATGTCTACAAGGGACTGAATGAGAGAACATATATAATGTGCTAAACACAGTCTCTATTGCATAGTAACTGCTCAATGGATTTCAGTCGTTACCATTATAAAGTACTGAGGAAAGCATAGACTTACATGTGTTTACATAAACTTGCTAATAAGTAAAACCAGTTCCCAGCCTAAAATAAAGCAGAGTTGGTTATTCCGTCTTCTACATTTCACAATACTGCTCATACCTTGTTTTATCACATCACATTCTGCTGTGACAAGTTAAAGGGCTCTCTGTCCCATCCCCTGTGGTCTTTGACAGCAGAGATTCTATGCTATTACCTTTGCATTCCCAATATATAGTGCTGAACCCAGCACAAATATGAGCTGGACAAATTTTTAATGCATGAAAACAAAACATCATAACATGTCCTAGAATGAATATGCAGAGGGAGAGCTTGTAGGCATAATGGCTCCTGGGGCAGGTGAATTTATATGCAAAGAGCTGGAGAGACAGTACAAAAGGAAACAAAGTTTTTAAATGGTGGGGAAAGTGATCCTTTGTTAGGAAAAAATATTACTCAATTTCTTAAAATGAAATCGAACATTAGATTTATGATATTAGAAATAAGAATATTTGCATTCTGCTTTATGTTTTATAGAACTCTTTCATAGGAATGCTGTAACATGATAATTATTACTTTTTCAGATTTTGTGCATTAGGAAACTTTATTAAAAGCTATTTTATTTTAGGTCATACAACTAGAAATAGAGTTGGGAAGCAATTTCAGGTCTTACAGTTTCAAGACCCATGGTCTTCAACAAGGCACGGAGCATACCAAGCATTATGGAAGACTTGTCAGTTATCCAAGGATTATCATGACTTGTAATAAACAGGGCTGAATTTTATCTCCAAAATTCTGAAACAACTTAAATGATCAATAAATGAAATGAAATTATGGCAAAGTTTCATTTGGCATAGCCTACACTAAGAAAAGATTATATAAGTGGGGGGCTGTGTATGTGTTTTGTTTCGTTTTTAATATTCTACTGCTTAGATCTATCATGGGTGCTGAGCGTCACTCTGAGCTTATAAATAGGAAGGCAGAAACGAATTCAAGTGTCTTATTTCTTCAAGTAATATGGCAATTGTACTAGTTAGGAAATAAAATATCAAAAAATGGCTTCCAGTTTTAACTAATGAATCAGTTTATATGTATTAAAGCTGACCTGGGCTTGTTTAAAAGAGAAAAGCTTTATTTTTCAAGCATATATGCAAAGTTCAAGACCAAAAGAAAGTTTAATTATTTATCTCTGGATAATGTAGATAAAATTAAGTAAATGCTAACTGTTCTTTAATGAAAATTACAAACATAATTAAACTTCATATTGAACTAAAGGCAGAGTTGTTAGTTAAACAAATGATGTCAGAGCTCCAGTTTTCTTATTCACTTTCTTTAATTACGCTTAGTCTTTTAACACAGGGATTTCCACACAGGTCTCTATTTCATGTACTCTGTAGATTGTATCTTTGCAAACCATTTAAGAGTTTTCTGATTGACAAAATAAAGTAGGCTGGAAATTTAAAAGAAAGTCATGTCTGGCTTCTGACAGGATATTAACTTTAGATGTTTCTACAGGGTTTGTATAAATGCCAGCCCTCAAAAAGCTATTCAATCTTTTTTTTTCTTTTTAAAATTTTCTGACTAGATCAAGACAAGCCAGGACTGTAGAAGTATGACAGGGGGAAGAAGAAGGTCAAATTACACACAAAAGCATTAAGGTTCACTTTTACCAGCATCAGCCGAGGTGTGCATTGACAAGAAAATGTAATCTGACAGAAGTTAACAGCAATGATTCAAAACACTGTGTTCACTACAAAATGGGGGTGGGTGGGGTGGGTATCATGCAACAAATGTGGAAACATATGGCCAAATAAAAATTTTTGGCTGGTAAATACATGAAGAAATCTTGAATAATTAAAAGTAATATGGGGAACACATTAATTCAAGAATGATCTCATACTCAAGCCATTTGTTTCAAAGATACGTTAAGACATTTAAAGGACTCCAAAAAGTGATGAATTAATTTAAGAAAAATGACATGAGCAGTATTAAATGATAGAATTAAAATAACAGGAAGAACATGTTGGTAATTCTATGGATAGTTCATTTACTTGGAAAAATATAGCATCCCTGGCTGGGCACAGGGGCTCATACCTGTAATCCCAGTGCTTTGGGAAGCTGAGTTGGGAGGACAGCTTGAGGCCAGAAGTTTGACACCAGCCTGGGCAACATAGTAAGACCCTGTCTTTACAAACGATTATATATATACACACATATATATAATATATAAATAAAATTAAATATAAATATGTAATAATTTATATAATAATAAATATTTTCTGGTAATATGAAAATTGTACTACTGGAAAAAAATATTACTATAATTATATTTATATACACATAAAATCTAGTAATATAATTTATAATAATATTAATATATTATACATATTTTATGTATATATAGCATCTTTTATTACTTTTTAGTTTCCCTCTTCCTGTCAGCATATCTGAGAATAATGAATCATTAATCTAGAAGATTCTCTCTATGGAAATTTCTAACATTGAATTTACAACTATAAGCTATACCCCTATAAGGTATTTTGTCAGAGCAGCCCAACAGCAACAACATAAACCAGTTGACAATGGCTCTTACCATCTCCCGGATCAATGATCTCGACAGTGGCGACTGTGGGGAATTCCAGGGCAGCCAGCACAGGCTCTGAGAGGACCACCTGAAAGGTTTCAGACTGCTCATGCTCCCCATCACTCAGGATCCGCACTCGCCATGTGGCCCTGGTCTGGCCTGGGTTGAACTGCACTTGTTTCTGTGCTTTGCCCTTGAAGTCTCCGTCTTTTTCTGCAGTCCCGTCTCTTGTGCCAATACCTTTACAGAAACATAGTATCATTTTCTTAGTTTCATTTTCCCTTGGATTATTAAGATTCTCCTTGTTAATTTTTTGCATGTCATTTTATCCTGAAAAGCAAAGTTGATCCTGCTTTGACCTCATGAAATGGAAAACTGGGAATGGGTCTGATGATGAAAGTGTTTCACTGCAGGTGTTGGGTAGTTTGTGATTCTGTTCTGCTTTTGCCTCAGTTATGGTTTTGCTATATATGCTTTGAGCTACATTTGGATTAGAACTTCTTGTCAAACAAGACCAAGTAAATGTATATCCACATTGTACAATATCCTTACTCCTACAAGTTTATGCAATCGTAAAACTCTTCACATTTACTTTTGCATGTGTTGCTGGATATTATATAAAAAAAGAAAAGAAACATTCTTTAACTATAAAATATAAGCCAATAAGAAACTCCTCCATAAAAGAATTCTCTGACTCACAATCTAAGTCATAAATGGTCAAGTGGAATAATAAAAAGTGATAGTATTCTCTAAGCACTTAATAGAACTAGGGTCCTTTAAAAAATGTAATTCACTGTTTTTCAGCATGGTCACTGACAATTTTTTCTTTCTGGAACACCCCAGAATTCCATGAAATTAAATAAACAGAATTGGAGAGCTAAATATATATGGTTATTATGAGCGGTATGCTTGGCTTACTCTGGTAGTTCATTCAAGGTCAATTTCAGTTAGCTGGGAAGGTTGAAGGATCTCTGGGTCTCTAACTACATCGCAAAATGATCTTCATTATTACCATGCCAGGTACTCAAACTGTAGGGTACATTATCCAAAAGCAGTGAAAACATTTAATGTCATAGAAAAATTATAAAATGGCAATGGTACTTGGACTTCTGTATCCTTAAATACAGAACCAGAGCCTCTTAATGAGTCAAGTGAATGCAATAATTTTCAAACATATTTCTCTAAACCTGGGCATTTTCAGAGAAGTTGGTAAGACAGACAGATATAAAAGAGGGAAAAATAAGGCTGGGCATGGTGACTCAGGATTGTCATCCCAACAGTTTGGAAGGGCGAGGTGGGTGGATTACTTGAGCCCAGGAGTTCCAGACCATTCTGGGAAACATGGTGAAACCCCATCTCTACAAAAAAGACAAAAATTAGCTGGGTGTGGTGGCACATGCCTGTAGTCCTCACTACTGGGGAGGCTGAGGTGGAAGGATCACCTGAGCCCTAGGAGGTCAAGACTGTAGTGAGTTGTGATTATGCCACTGTGCTCCAGCCTGGGTGAGTGAGACCCTGCTTCAAAAATTAAAAATACATGAATACATAAATAAATAAATAAAAGAGGGAAAAATAAAGTCTTGTGACTTAGATTTTTTAAATCTTGAAAATAAGTTATTTGGAAGATTTTGCATTTAATCAAAAATTATATTTTTAAAAACAATTCCTTTTGTTTTTCAAACTAGAAATGAAACTGGACTAAATAAGATCCATTCAACCACAAGTATTCATTGAGTTCTTATTCCATGCCAGCCTCTGTTCTGTGTGCTGGTGCTGTATCAGAGAACAAAACAGACAGAAACCCTTGCCTTCATAATGCTTATATAAGAGTCATTAGAATGTGTATCTATATATAGGAATATATCAGAGACTGCTGTTTTAATCTTAAAATGAAGATGAAAACAAAGATTTTATTAAAAATATTTCTGTCTTACAGATCTCAGAAAAATAACTGACATAAATATTGCATCATATTTTTCTTTTATAGTAGCAGGTAAAATACAATTTATGTAATGGCAAGAGAAAAAAAGGGCACAGAACCAGGAATTGCAGGGCTGCGTATCTTGCTGAATGCTGTAGACTTCCTGATAGCTCTCTGGTTCCTCGTGCACACAGAGTTGGTTGTCAACACCTCTTGGATCCACTACAATTCACTGCCAAGATGTTGATGAAAGGAATCATTCTCTCTGAGGTTCCAGAACACATGCTGCTAACTGACCCATCTATCCCCAGTGGCATGACCAGCAAAAATCTGTTAGTCTGCCTCTGATAGCTACTGCTCACTTTTCTGTTTTGTTTTCTTTCATCAGCAATGCATTATTATTTTTTTTTTTGAGTTTCAAAAGGGAGTTAAAAACAAAAATTGAGTAAGTATGATACAAGGAATGTCTGCTAGTTCCAACTAGTCCTCCTTCCTACATGATAGTCAAGCCATCTAATATTAAATGAGTTGCAATACCATCTGATATTAAATGAGTTGCAATACCATATCCCAATTGTTGCTGCTAAAAACACCTATTTTTTTTTACTTTTGTTACTAAATGAAACTGCAATTGGATCTTTTCCTCTGACATAGAAAAATAACAAAGTGGTTAAACAGGGTATTTGTGGAATGAGAGAATAGATTTTATATCCCATCCCGGCCACAAAACAGTTGTGGGATTGCAGGCAAGTTATTAACTTATCTTAGTGAAGGATTTATGAAGCACTATGGTGCAGTGGTTAAGAACATGGGCCTTTTGCCAACTCTCAGCTCTGCCCCTTACTAGTTGGCTAACTTTGGATATATCACAGCCTCTCTATTTTCTCATCTCATGGTACTCTTCTCATGGAGTTGACCTGGGTAGGGTATTGGGAAGTAGGCCCAGCAAATAACCCAGTAAACATTAGCTATCATTGTTTCCTCATAGTTCACTACCTAACAAAGTCCCTGGTATATAATGAGTACTCAGTAAAACATTTGTTGAGTCAGGGAATAAAGAATTGATACAGGGTGTAAAAGAGATAGATAAAGTGCTTAAGGTACGTATGAAGTACCTTGCCTTTAATAAATACTCAATAACTGGTAGCAATAAGAGCTTTGAAATGCAAATACTAATGTGGAATATAAATACACATTTAGTTTATTAGTGATTTTAGTGGTTATAAAATGAATAATAATCTTTGAGAATATACATCTACAAATTTCACGTAATTAATGATTTCTTAGCTGTACTCAAGTGATACTCTGTCTTTTGCTATAATGCAATCTCATTCTAAACATCCATAAATAAAAGTAGAGGTTGTATGGGAACAGTTATAAGCAATGTATTCACTGTAGAACTTGTATGAGGCTACCCTTCATTTTAATCTGATTTCCACTCCAGGTCCTAGCATGAATTCTGTTACCATCTTCAGTGACTGAGGATATGGGCCACACACAGAAGGCTTCCCAACTTTCTGTCATCCAGGTCACTAAGTAACCATGTGAAGTGAACCAAGTAAAGCCTATGAGCCTTTGTAGAACTGCTGGTATTCCCATATTCATAGAAAATAATAGTTCATTGAAAAAAATACAACAAAAAGAGCTCTTGTTTGACATTTTAGCATCCAGCTTAAGAAAAAAGAGGCGGTGGAGAAAAAAAAATGCAAAAAAAATTTTTTTGGAAATCTTTTTCTATTGTTAACTTTCCCAGTGCTATCCAGGGGCCTGTTGTGAGTGAAAAATTAAATAAACTCACCAGGAGTGGGAACTCAGGTAAAAAATAGATAAACCTATTCTTAATAATTGGTAAGGTGCTCTGCTTTTTAGTTATGATTTTCCCTATGATTTATTTGCTATATGTTCAGGTACAAAGCAGAGTTAAGACCAACTGGTTCCTGATGATAAGACGGGATGTGTACATGTGCACAGACAATGTGTTCCTAAACAAGAGCGCACTGAGAGCGCTCAGAATATCCTAGGCTAAATACAAAGCATGAGAAGCCAGCCAGGTGGAGGCTCATGCAAAATGAAGATGGAAGCAGAGGCTGAGGGTGAGGCTGTGGGGAGACCAGCTCCCCCTGCAGCCAGAGCAACCTCAAAGACAGGGAAAGTGTCTTGTGAAAACCCGGTCTTCTAAAGTTAAGAGGGAAAAAAAAAGAATTTTTAAAGTGATGGATAATTAATATTCAGATTCAAAACATGTCAGGGGAAATCAAAAAGAGTGGTGGGGTGTTGGCTGCAGCAAAAGTACAGCAGGGTTGTGGGTGTTGGGGAGGGATGTTGGGGGTGGCAGGATGTGTATTTCTGTGCATAGAGGTCTACTGTTTAAGGCTCTTTAAGTTCATGGACCCGGTAAAATTTCAAAATAGTCATTTGGAGACAAGTATAGGTTTACTAACTTTTTACTTTGCCAACATTTTCCTAGATTCCTACCTTAGTTGATAATCTCACTCATTGAAATCTTCTTTTTTTTTTTTTTTTTTTTGAGACGGAGTCTGGCTCTGTCGCCCAGGCTGGAGCACTGCCAGCTCCGCCTCCCGGGTTTAGGCCATTCTCCTGCCTCAGCCTCCCGAGAATCTGGGACTACAGGCGCCCGTCACCATGCCCGGCTAGTTTTTTGTATTTGTTTTTTTTTAGTAGAGACGGGGTTTCACCGTGTTAGCCAGGAGAAATCTTTTTTTATCTCATGCAAATTCCATTGGCCTAGATGTCTATAAAATATATGGTACCAAAACCAATATAATTGCTTCAGGTGCTGCCATTTTTATCAACATATTAAATATTTTATGCCAACCATATTGCTGCTTAAAAGTACCAATATACTGCCAACTTTATTTTATGCTTCTATGAAAATCAAATATGAACTTGGAGTTGAAAAAAGGTTTCATTCGTTTGCTTTTGACTCTCAGTTTTATTTAAACGAAGTAAAGCAGAGGAAAATGATTAGTATTTAACAATTTACTGCTGGTTACAAAGAGAGGACACAACACTCATGTTTCAGAAGACTTTTATCTTATGGATAAATTACAGATTTGCCTAAGCTCATTCTAAGATCCAGTGACGTTTATTTTTATTTCATAACTTATTGTTCCTGCTGATTTTTATATCAGAAAAAGATCACATGTACATAGAAGGGTTAAGAGAAAAAGTACCTGGACACAACCTGGTGCCTGTTTCATTAGCAATCATTTAAATCTTAACTGAAAACTAGATCAGTAATAAACTGATATTTAAATCACTGGCTAGAAAGGTATAAACGTCTTGCTAAAAAATAAATTTTGAGACATGAACAAAAAAATAAACTACCCTTTATACAACAGAAGCTTCCCCAAGTGCTCACGTTAAACAACACAGCAAATTTG